GCAAATATTTGAAACTGGGCGTAAATGTGGGGGAATTTTTCTTGTTATTTTAACACAAATCACTGCCAACCAAAAGGGGAATACCCACCTCCATTGATGACCACATTCGGGTAACAGATTCCAAAGCAAACAAACGACAACAAAGTCGTCCAATAAAATCCCCTTTTATGCATATTTATATATTCTATGTGCTCGCACTGAACAACAAATTCTTTAACAGCAGCTATACGTTTTACTTTCCACCGCTGATTGCCGCATACTGATATGAGAAATAATTTCGCGGCTTTATGAGGCCAAAGCAGGCTCTCGAGCTCAACTGCCCAGTTCAGTTGAGCTCAACTAAAGATTGAAACCGCATTCTACAGAATTGTTTTTGTTTGCTTCTTTGCGTTTTGTTTTGCGTCTTGTTTTCACTTTAGTTGAGAACTTTTCATCATTTTGCTTTTTTATTTCTTTACTTGTTCTCCAGTGCATAGATGAATGGATACCAGTCATCGTAATAATTGTTGTTATTATTTAATGTGTAGCACCGCGATTTGTAAAACAAGTTACTAAGTTTTTTCTCTTGCTTTCCGTATAATGACCATACCCTACACAAGTATGTTGAGGACAATACGATTTTTGGGAGCAATACGATATTTTAAAACAGTCATAGGCGTGGATTTTTTAAATGTCATTTTTCATAGACTATCAGAGCTATAGGCGTGGATTTTTTAAATGTCATTTTTCATAGACTATCAGAGCTATAGGCGTGGATTTTTTAAATGTCATTTTTCATAGACTATCAGAGCTATAGGCGTGGATTTTTTAAATGTCATTTTTCATAGACTATCAGAGCTATAGGCGTGGATTTTTTAAATGTCATTTTTCATAGACTATCAGAGCTATAGGCGTGGATTTTTTAAATGTCATTTTTCATAGACTATCAGAGCCATAGGCGTGGATTTTTTGAATGCCATTTTTCGTAGACTATCAGAGCCATAGGCGTGGATTTTTTGAATGTCATTTTTCGTAGACTATCAGCGCCATAGGCGTGGATTTTTTAAATGTCATTTTTCATAGACTATCAGCGCCATAGGCGTGGATTTTTTAAATGTCATTTTTCGTAGACTATCAGAGCTATAGGCGTGGATTTTTTAAATGTAATTTTTCATAGACTATCAGAGGCGTGGATTTTTTGAATGCCATTTTTCGTAGACTATCAGAGCTATAGGCGTGGATTTTTTAAAGGTAATTTTTCATAGACTATCAGAGCTATAGGCGTGGATTTTTTGAATGCCATTTTTCGTAGACTATCAGAGCTATAGACGTGGATTTTTTAAAGGTAATTTTTCATAGACTATCAGAGCTATAGGCGTGGATTTTTTGAATGTCATTTTTCGTAGACTATCAGAGCTATAGGCGTGGATTTTTTAAATATCATTTTTCGTAGACTGTCAGAGCTATAGGCGTGGATTTTTTAAATATCATTTTTCATAGACTATCAGAGGTATAGGCGTGGATTTTTTAAATGTCATTTTTCATAGACTATCAGAGGTATAGGCGTGGATTTTTTAAATATCATTTTTCATAGACTATCAGAGGTATAGGCGTGGATTTTTTAAATGTCATTTTTCATAGACTATCAGAGGTATAGGCGTGGATTTTTTAAATGTCATTTTTCATAGACTATCAGAGCTATAGGCGTGGATTAAAAAAAAACAATTAAATGTCTCGACTTATTTCAAATTATAAGCATTTAATCATGGTGTAGGGTATAACAAATTAAACCAGACCGTTTATACAAAATTTTACTTGTTTTTATTTAAACTCAGCTTTAGAAGACAAGCTCGTGCATGTGGGCGCAATAAGAAGAAATTCAATATCAAATGAGAAAACACCACAAAAGCAACTATTGAGAGATACATCAATCAATATCGGTAAATAATTTACTGATGTGATGAAAATCGTTTGCGGCCATTTGAATACGGGGTAATTGCTAAGAAATGAAACAAGTATTTTCTCTTCTTCAGCTAACAAGTTTTCAGATACTATATACGATTAAAATGATTCATGAAATAATGTATAAAACAAACAAATACGTCATAATCACATATGCCGAACCGTAAGGCAGATGCCCTCCTCCCAATTATTCAATGAGCGAGCCTGCACCATAGGAAGGAACTTGTTCTAAGATGCTTTAAACACTGATAAACCAAAGTGGCGTTTGTTTTAAAGCTAAATTTTTCGTGCGGGATTTCATGAATGAGATGTTTTTTGTTTTTTAATATTAATGTTAATGGCGAAATTGTCATTGTTCCTACACGTGTTTGTTTGGTTGTTTTGTTGCCTTGAATTAAAGAAACACGTCAAGTTATTCTCAGATTGTGACGACATGCTACGACGTGCACTTCTTAATGTGGTTACGATATCAACGCATTTTTTTATAAGTTTATATATAGAGATGTGGGTGCATTTAAATGCACAAAGTTGAATCATCCAATAAATTTTCGAAATTTTAGTAAATTTTGCATTTGATATTTTAAGACTGCCTGCGATATTTTAATGTCGATAGAATTACATATCAAATATTTCTTAAAACTGGCCAATAACGACAGCACCATAAGGTGGAGTGTATATTAATTTTGTCATTCCGTTTGCAACACCTCGAAATATTTACCGAGACGCCATGTCGATTTACGCATGTCCGTCAGTTTAAATCACGATAGAGATCACAATATTAAAGATAGAGCTCTAAAATTTTGCGCGGACAATGCTAGTACAAATGATATATAAGTAGGTCCACGTTTTGGAGTAGGTCAAAAGGGTAGCCCCTCAATATTCGGTATTTTGGTGATTTTTCCAATCAAATTGGCCGTAATTTGGCATTTTTGGTTCTCATGGTATAGCGCATCTTCGTACCAAAAATTATTAATATTGTCTGAAGTTTCAGTGTAACCCACATATAATGTTACCCAAAAATATTCGGTACTTTGGACACATTTTCCAACCGAACTGGTTGTTATTTGGTATTTTGGGTCCTCGTTGAATAGGAAATATCCCTCCAAAAAAGGGTAGCTACCATATAACGGTACCCACCAGAATTCGGTATATTTTTGGATTTTGGGCAGGTTTTCCAATCGAATTGGCTGCAATTTGGTATTTTGGGTTCTCAATGTATAGTACATATAGGATTGACCCAAGTATTAGGGCAGTCACCATATAACGGTAACCCCCAATATTCGGTATTTACGGGATTTTGCACAAGTTTTCCAACCAAACTGGTTCTCATTGTATTACACATATCCATACCAAAAATATTAATAATGGCCAAAGGTTCAGGGTAGCCCCATAGAACGGTATCCCAGTATTTGGTATTCTAGGGATTCTGGACACTTTTTTCTACCAACTTGGATGTAATTTTATATTTTGTTTTCTCATTGTATAAATGTGCTATATAATACACCATTCTAAAAACTTTTAACATTACGTGGGTCAATGGATCAATTAAGGGTAGCCCCATAATATGGGTTTCCCAATATGGGGATTTTTGACACTATAAGATACTATGAGATATTTTGAGAATTTCAATAATCTTTTTCTCGTGTATATACCAAAAGACGTTGCCCCACAGACCCCAGTTTAAGGTTTTTTGTGGGTTTGGTAAAAATATTTCGATATGCATATACGAACTTCATTTAAGTTTTCTAGAAATATTACGATTTGAAAAATTGGGAATAAGCCTGCAATATTCAATTTTTATGGAACACCAACCAGCAAGACTGGACACCAACCAGCAGCAAAACGGAAAGAAATTTAAAATTTGTCTCAAAATTGGGATCTAAAACCAATATTTTGATAAAGTAGAAATAATATTAGAGGGTCACTTTAATGAGCATATCAACTTTATTGGATTATCTTGTATTGCACTCTTGGTTTGGTAAAATATTTCAAATATAAACCATCCCAAATATTACACACTATAAGTAATGATATACAAAATGTTTTTAAAGTTAATTTTAATAATTTAAAATATTTAGCTCACTTATCCATTTTACCTTTGCCACAACTTGAGCTATATGCAAAACAATACCCTCCAGAACCCAACCGTTTTGGGTGCGACGAGCCAAAGAACCACCGGAATCACCATTACAACTATCCTTGCCCATTTCACCGCCAACACACATGTGGGATAATTCCTGACGAATTCGACATTTGTCATCATCCAAATACACTACATCCACAATGCGTTTCTCATCGGTGTAATTTGCTAAAAAAATATGGAGAAGGAAATGTTTTATATGACATATTATGATTTTTTATTTATGAATGCATTACCCGTTGCTGTACTACCCCAACCGGCCACTGTCAATCTCGTGCCATTTGTCGGTGGCTGTAATTTCGGCATAACCACAGACAAACATATTGGTTCCACGGAATATGAATATTTGATATCTTTTGTTGTTTTCACCAAGGCAATATCACTGTAAATTTTTCTTTTCTTTGTAACAAAGAAATCATCATGCACCCATGACTGTTCGATAAATAGCCGTTGATATGGATCTATGCAGAAGCCATCTTTATCACAATCTTGTTCAGTTACAACATTATGATCACCAGTGACGTGTATAAAATGTACTACTTTTTCAATAAATTTCGAATATTCTTCGTCGGACTTACGAAATATACAAATATTATTAAACTTACAAAACACCAACGTTTTCCTCAATTGTCTGCATACAGTGTCCTGCTGTTAATCATATCTCGATTTAAAATACTGCCAGCACAACCAATTGTTAACCAACCACTAGCTAGAAAAGAGAAACAAATATAACTATTAACACTGTGACACAAAATCGATCATCGTATGCGGAGGTGGAAAAATCTTCATGGGGTTAAAAACAATTGGCGTGTATAATAAGAATCCATAAGCACAAAATCACCATGGGTCAATGTTATAATGAAGAAACCCCTTTATATCATTGTATCGCATGAGGAATATTTTTTGTAAATCATATCATCGTTCTCTGGTGTTTTTAGTCCTCTGTTGTTAAACTAAAAGCCACAAGATGAGATTTTTTGACTTCCAAATATTCAGAAAAAATGTAGTTCATACGATTTGCCTAAGGCTCTGATAGTCCTTGAAAAATATTCTTTAAAAATCCACGCCTAAGGCTCTGATGGCGCTTGAAAAAATATTCTTTAAAAATCCACGCCTAAGGCTCTGATAGTCCTTGAGAAAATATTCTTTAAAAATCCACGCCTAAGGCTCTGATAGTCCTTGAGAAAATATTCTTTAAAAATCCACGCCTAAGGCTCTGATAGTCCTTGAGAAAATATTCTTTAAAAATCCACGCCTAAGGCTCTGATAGTCCTTGAGAAAATATTCTTTAAAAATCCACGCCTAAGGCTCTGATAGTCCTTGAGAAAATATTCTTTAAAAATCCACGCCTAAGGCTCTGATAGTCCTTGAGAAAATATTCTTTAAAAATCCACGCCTAAGGCTCTGATAGTCCTTGAGAAAATATTCTTTAAAAATCCACGCCTAAGGCTCTGATAGTCCTTGAGAAAATATTCTTTAAAAATCTACGCCTAAGGCTCTTGTAACCCTTAGAAAAAAATTTCTTAAAAATCCACGCCTAAGTCTCTGACAGTCCTTGAATTAAATAGTCATTTCTAAGGAATTTTAATTCAGGACGGTCACTCTTTTGGAAATTACGGTTAAACCTACATGCTTTTATTTTTTTTCCAATCTCTGCAATTTATTTCCATTATCATAAACATATTTATGCCTCATTGGTTTGAAGGTTATTTTGATGGAACCCCGCCATCGAAATAATTGTATTCACTCCACCTTCCGCATGAATGCACGAGAGTGATTATCACCAGTAAATGTATAATCATCATAATACAAATTAATGAAATTGCAATTGCTTTATATAAATATCAACTCATGTGCTCATTTTCGTGTTTATTTAGCTTAGGAGGTGTGTGGAATACAGCAACAAAAAGGTCCATTCTATATATATTTATTTTTAAATCACGGAAATGCATTTGAACCAGAAAAAAACAAACAAAAAAGAACAACAAATGGAAGAAAATAAGAAAACAAATCACACCTACAAACATCAACACACACACACTTAAGAGAACATATTTTATGTAACCACCTATATAAGGAAGTTGAGATGTGAAAGAAAATGCAACAAAAAAAAAAACAAAAAAAACGAAAAAAATACCAAGCCCAAAAGAACACATAGGAAACAATTCGTGTTCTCTTTACTTTGCACTTTCTACGTTGTGGCAAATGTTCATGTCTACTCTGGATATGTGTGTGGTAAAATACAATAGAACTGACATATATAAACATATGTATATTAGGTGGGGAAGACCTCAATACTAGGTACTTGGCTAGAACTGTTGATAACACTCACCTCAGTTTCAATAGTTATTTTATTTTTAGTACAACCCAACATCAATGGTAACATCATTTTGAAATATTCCCCTGAACCACCCTAATAAATATACAATAAACATATACAGTTAAGGATATTTTTAAGGAATATCGGAATTACATGCTTTGATTTTTTAAGAATATTTTTCAAGGACTATCATAGCTTTAGGTTTGGATTTTTTTAAATATTTTCAGGGCCTTAGCCCTGCATATTATAAATAGATTTTTTTTCAAGGACTATCAGAGATTTTTTTGAAATGAATTTTTCAAGGAATATCAAGACCTTAGGCGTGGATTTTTAAATAATATTTTTTAAGGACTATCAGAGCCTTAGGCGTGGATTTTTAAATAATATTCTTCTAAGGACTATCAGAGCCTTAGCCGAGGATATTTAAAGAGTATTTAGCGTTGATTTTTAAAGAATACATTTTTTAAGGACTATCAGAACCTTAAGCGTGGATTTTTAAATAATATTTTTTTAAGGACTATCAGAGCCTTAGGCGTGGATTTTAAAATAATATTTTTTGAAGGACTATCAGAGCCTTAGGCGTGGATTTTTAAATAATATTTTTTTAAGGACTATCAGAGCCTTAGGCGTGGATTTTTAAATAATAATTTTTAACGACTATCAGAGCCTTAGGCGTGGATGTTTTAAAGAAATTTTCTCAGCGACTATCAGAGCCTTAGGCGTGGATTTTTTAAAGAAATTTTCTCAGCGACTATCAGAGCCTTAGGCGTGGATTTTTAAATAATATTTTTTAAGGACTATCAGAGCCTTAGGCGTGGATTTTTAAATAATATTTTTTTAAGGACTATCAGAGCCTTAGGCGTGGATTTTTAAATAATAATTTTTAAGGACTATCAGAGCCTTAGGCGTGGATTTTTAAATAATATTTTTTTAAGGACTATCAGAGCCTTAGGCGTGGATTTTTAAATAATATTTTTTTAGGGACTATCAGAGCCTTAGGCGTGGATTTTTAAATAATATTTTTTAAGGACTATCAGAGCCTTAGGCGTGGATTTTTAAATAATATTTTTTTAAGGACTATCAGAGCCTTAGGCGTGGATTTTTAAATAATATTTTTTTAAGGACTATCAGAGCCTTAGGCGTGGATTTTTAAATAATATTTTTTTAAGGACTATCAGAGCCTTAGGCGTGGATTTTTAAATAATATTTTTTTAAGGACTATCAGAGCCTTAGGCGTGGATTTTTAAATAATATTTTTTTAAGGACTATCAGAGCCTTAGGCGTGGATTTTTAAATAATATTTTTTTAAGGACTATCAGAGCCTTAGGCGTGGATTTTTAAATAATATTTTTAAGGACTATCAGAGCCTTAGGCGTGGATTTTTAAATAATATTTTTTTAAGAACTATCAGAGCCTTATGCGTGGATTTTTAAATAATATTTTTTTAAGAACTATCAGAGCCTTAGGTGTGGATTTTTAAATAATATTTTTTTAAGAACTATCAGAGCCTTAGGTGTGGATTTTTAAATAATATTTTATTAAGAACTATCAGAGCCTTAGGTGTGGATTTTTAAATAATATTTTTTTAAGAACTATCAGAGCCTTAGGCGTGGATTTTTAAATAATATTTTTTTAAGAACTATCAGAGCCTTAGGCGTGGATTTTTAAATAATATTTTTTTAAGAACTATCAGAGCCTTAGGTGTGGATTTTTAAATAATATTTTTTTAAGAACTATCAGAGCCTTAGGTGTGGATTTTTAAATAATATTTTTTTAAGGAATCAGAGCCTTAGGCGAGTCATATACAATTGAATTTTTTCTACGATTATTATGTATATGGGATACATATCACATACATACACGACACTGTATAAAAATGTCTATAAGCAAAGTCATTTGTGTGCACAAAACTAATAATACAAACTAACAAAAGATATTGTTCGATGCAGCACTAAAGTCAGCAATAATATTTAAGAAGAAAGACTGTGTTAAAAAAATAAAATGAAAAATACTTCTCAACGAGTGTAGTCTGTCAAGTTGAAAATAACGCCGTTATTTGTATTACTAGTAGACTGGGAATTGTAGAAACTGCACATCGGTATAAAAAACATTAATATATATATATATATATTAATAAATTTAAGAACCACATATTGGTACATAGAACATACAACTAAAAATTTTAATTTTTAATGAATTTTGTCTCCGACTGTTCATAGTCCTATGTTCCACGAGTTTCACATCCAATTTTTCTCCAACAGTATGATATATAGTAGGTTTTCCGAACTGGCTCCGTTAATCTCGTAACTACATACACAAATAAAAACCCCACATACATCCATTGGGTTGTGCGTGCTTAAACAAAGAAACAAGTCAATAGAAATATTCACCTACCAACAACTTCCCTTCTTACTCCCCATATAAACCGACTTTACGCTCACTATATGTTGTGAACCGAATAATAATACAAAATAGTTTAGAATTTTCCATGGTATACTTTGGGGAGATACTAACAACAATGGCACTGGAAAGAAAACATACATACTACCAGAAAAGTCAACTGGTACAAAACCTACATGGAGCTGGTACTAGACAATACGATACTAGACTCTCTGCTATGTACAACATGTTACATAGTTTTTATGCCAATGTTCATTTGATGTAACCTTACCGTAAATGGTGAATCCAATATCAAGTGAGAGTGTATGAGTGTGTACGTGAGTTTGTTTCATTCAAGTGTGTGTGTTTGTTTCATTCAACATTCGATATTTGTAGTAGTTTACAGTGAGTGTCTAAGTATATATCTTTAGTAAGAGTTTTAAGTAAACAATTTAAACATACATATATGAACAAGTTCGGTACATCAAAAGTTTAAAGCAAAGAATGTTTGGGAACGATTGGAGGGAAATATACCTATAAATTACACGATTGTAGGTCCGATAGACCTCGTAAATATATTTTGAAAAATCAATTCATATAGGCGTGATTGAGCTTGGAAATATTAGAAAACATTGTAAGAGTAGACCTGTAGGAGTGATGTTCCATCTAAAATAAAATTATTCCGAAAAAAACACATTTGTGATAGAAGCGTCGTCAATTTTGACCGGTCCGAAATTTCCAAATGGACCAATATTTCGCGGCGTTACAAACTTTTGGGGCTGCACAAAGCTATAATACCCTGACAACATAGTTGTGTAGGGTATAAAAATTCACGCTTATTGATAGTTCTTGAAAACACTACTAGTACTCGGTTATTGATAGTCCTTCAAAACTATTCTCTAAAAAAATGCATGTTTATGGATTGTCATTGAAAAACTAAGTTTAACCAGTAAGGAAAGTAGTAAAGTCGGACTGGGCCGACTATATGATACCCTTCACCACTTTGGGTATATTCAACAGATGTATCCTATCGATGCACCAATTACATAAAACTGGACGAAAATATATATGGGAGCTACATTTAAATCTGAACCGATTTTCACGAAATTTAGCTCACGTCATTCTAAACTTAATTCAGTACGCTATGACAAATTTCGTGCAAATGGAATGATTTTCAAAGACTTTGGTGCACCATTTACCTAAAATCGGGCGACTATATATATATATATATATATATATATGGGAGCTTTATATACATCTGAACCGATTTTCATGAAACTTGGCACACCTTATTATAGACACAATTCAGCACGCTATGCCAAATTTCGAGCAAAGATATATAGGGTATTAAAAGCACCAATTACCTTAGATGAAAATATATGTGGAATCTATATCCAAATTTGAACCGATTTCAACGAAACTTTTCACAGGTTGGGTTATACTAATTTCAGTACGTTTTGTTCTTTCAATCATATATTGGTTCCTTGGTGTGTCAATTACTTAAAATCAATCGATCTATGCAATATTAGAACTTTGGTACATTATTTACATTAAATCTGGCGGAAATATATATATATATATATATCTTAATCTGAACCGATTTTCATGAAACTCAGCACACATCATTCCAGGAAACTTGGCATAAAGCACTCTAGGCTCTATTAAGTACGTTATGCCAAATTTTGTGCAAATCGAAATATAAATAGGGACTTTGGTGCATCACTTACATAAAATCGGACGAAACTATATATGGGAGCTATATCTAAATCTGGACCGATTTTCACGAAACTTGGCAGACATCACTCTAAGCTCAATTAAGTACGTTTTGCCAAATTTCTTGCAAATCGAAAGATATATAGGGACTTTGGTGCACCATGTACATAAAATCGGACGAAAATATATATGGGAGCTATATCTAAATCTGGACCGATTTTCAGGAAACTTGGCAGACATCATTCTAGGCTTAATTCATTACGCTGTGCCAAATTTCGTGCAAATCGAACGATATATAGGGACTTTGGTGCACCATTTACCTTAAATCGGACGAAAATATATATGGGAGCTATATCTAAATCTGAACCGATTTTTCTCAATTTCAATAGGGTTCGTCCCTGAGCCAAATGAGTGAACTGTGCCAAATTTCATCTAAATCGGATCATAAATGTGACCTGTACTTTGTTCACAAAAATACATGGACGGATGGACAGACGGACATGCGTAAATCGACTCAGAAAGTGATTCTATGCATATTCTCAAAAGTAACTATGGGTCTATCTCGATTCCTTTTGCCTGTTACAAACATATGCACAAAGACATAATACCCTGTACCACAGTGTGGTGAAGGGTATAAAAAGTAAACACTTATTGTTAGTCCTCCAAAAAATATTTAAAACGAATCCACGCTTCTTGATATTCTTTTTTTTTTTTAATTTGTACTACAAATTTATCTTGGAATGTCCCATATATCCATGTTGTTGATGCGATTTTTTTTTTTGCTTCGGTAACTAAGAAAACAATATGCCACATGCTAAAAGTTTTTTGTTGCAAGGCTAGGCTACAGGGCCGATAGTAGTAGTAGTAGTAATACAAAACATTTCACCGGCTGTTGCTGCAGTAGCAAATATCTGATACACCTTCTCCTGGGCTTTTAGCCACACCTACGCAGCAAAATTATTTTTTATACTTCAATGCAAGTAAACAAATTTGTTCCAATTTTAATAGAACAGCAGCAGCAACAACAACTGCAACGCACAGATACACTCATACACTTAAACTATGACTATGACAACCAGAAAAAACAATACATGTGGCATAGTAATAATAATAGACTCCTCTGCAGTTCTAAGGTTTATTTTTTTCTGTTTGTTTTGAATTTTTTTTTCTGTCTGTTTATGTTGTATACTGCTTGTTCTTCTTTAAAGCCACCCACAATAGCCAACCATCTAGGACATGCAGCAATACATTGTTGTTGTGGAAAATAGTTGTTTGCCTTCAAAAATACACCACAGTGCATGTTAGGCAAAAATATGAAAAGGCGGAATGCATATTTAGCATATTGTTGTTGTCGGGCGGCGGGAGTGTAGTATGGGCAGCAAAATATTTTGATAGAATTTAATTAAAATCCCAAAGCAATTTTTTTATCAAAACAAATTTAATAGTTTAAAAAGCTGAAGAAGGAAAGTGGGTCTTGGGAGGTTGTTGAATACATTATCATCGTTTTTTATTGAAACAAAAACGAGATAATAGTTACGTTAATACCCAAGAAACAACATTTTATTTTAGGGGATTGGGCAGCAACATATGTCCGTTTTCAATGCCACTGGCAAAAAAGTTTTAAGACACTTCCTTGGAAGGAACATAAAAATTTAGACCAAAGAAAACATTTACATATTTTTTAGAATGTTTAAACAAAAAATAAGATTTACCTAAGAGGTTAAATGAAAAATCAATGTTGTTTTATGTTAGCTATAATAAGGAAGGTAAGATATAAAGAATCTCGAATTCTCAGCTTTATTTTTAAAAAGATGTACTTGTTACCACATGTAAAAGGTTCGCCTATAATCTAAAAGCCTGGCATAAATCCCTCATACCGAAGCCCAGTAAGGCTATTTAGTAAGTTTTACTTCATGTTTAGTCAAATCCATAGAACGGATAGTCGACAAAATGATAAATATAAATAAAATTTACATCAAATTAATAATATATATGGTACCTATTATAAATCCGAACCGATTTCGACAATGTTGTGTAAAATTTCTTCTCAAACCACTATGGGTTAGAACCCAAATTTGGCAAAAAAAAAAAAAAAAACTTCAGGTTATATATTTATAATCTGGAGACATTGAACATTTTAAGGAAAATTATAAAACCATGTGGGTCAAGGTTTACAAAAAAGATCAAAATCGCATATTTTTGTGAACATAATTGTATTTGAATAAATAACAAGTGAAACCAGTAAGGAAAGTAGTAAAATCGGACGGGGCCGACTATATTATACCCTTCACCACTTTGGGTATATTCAACACATGGTATCCTAAAAGACGTCGCATTTTTGAAGGACCATTAACATGAAATTAAACATTTCATTCTGCAACCTATACTAAATTTTGGTCAGATATAGAGTTGCTTCTTACAATGTGACAAAATTATGTAAATAAATTTAAAGCAAAATATCGAAATCTTAACCGATTTCATCGAAACTTGTCACATGTTCGGCCACATTTTCAGTCCTTCATTTACTTTTAAATCCAAATTTCGTGCAAATCGAAGGATATAAAGGGACTTTGGTGAACCTGTACATAAAATCGGACGAAATCTGAACCGATTTTTACGAAATTTAACACACTTCGTTCTAGACTTAATGCAGTACGCTGTGCCAAATTTCGTGCAAATCGAAGCATATATAGGGACTTTGGTGCACTATTTAACTAAAATCGGAGGAAAATAAAAGGGCCGGGCCAGACTTAATTCTAATGAAGTGTGGTTAAAACTTCCTATGTAAAGAAAAATGCGTGGGATATTTACGTAGGGCATATTACAAACAAGTGAACCTCCGCAAACAAGATTTATTGTAAAATTCTGACGACCAGAAACGTTAAATTGCTGTCAAACATAGTAATATGAAATCCCTAATATTTTCGCCATAGCGTATTGACATGTATTAGCAATGATGTCGCCCAGGAATAATGGGGGATATATGGAACATACAAAAATGTGACATATGCCGATAATTGTACCAAGCTATTTTGTAAGCCAAGATGCAAATAAAATACAAAATTTAGACATTTTTAATGGAGATTTTCCTTAAATTTCAAAACACCAAATCGTGGTCCGACATTGATAACGCATGGTATGGTGCAAAATGTGTATAAAATCCTCAAAATACTGCAAGTTACAGGGCAATGTTATTTTGTTTACATCGTGTAGCAAATGTTCGGTAACATTTGGAGTTACCATTATATGAGGGG